GGGTCTGGATTCCACTTATGAGGGAAAACATGCAATATTTGCTTTTCTGAGCTTGGCTTATCTCACTCAACATGCTGATCTCTGGTTCCATCCATTTTCCTGCAAATGACATAATTTCATTCTTCTTTATAGAACACATGTTCAGGTAATCCTGGAATCTACTTTTCATTAAACCCAAATACATGTCAACATTGATTTGGTAGTAGAGGGTAACAACAAAGATTCTTTGCTGGGCCACACTTAGTCAGATTTCTGAATCTTCTGCTAGACCTATCTATGAACTTCCTTGTCTAATCTAGTTTTAGCAAAGAGCTCTGCTAAGTTGATTCAGCAAGAGCCAGAATCGCCCTAACCCCCTGTTTCTTCTTAGTAATTTTCTATCCACTGACCCCCACCCTACTCTTACACTGTATTTGGAGTTGGGCCCACTTCAAGTCCCTGTTATAGTGGTCCATATTACCTATCATGATGGTAGGTAATCATTAACAAGCAGACCCCTTAAAAGTACCACTGAATGTTTTTTCTTTAACAAAGGGAGAATTATAAAGTAGGGATAAGTGCTGCTTGGGTTTACTTCTAAGGATCCAGGCAAGCTTTACACACACCTTGTCCTTCTCTAGAACCAACTTGTGAAAATGCAAATTCTTGGGTCACCCAGCCTATTGGATTAGTCTTTAGGAGGAGGCCTAAAAAATCATCTGTCTTCAAAAAGGTACAATTCTATTAGCAGTCAGTTTTTGGTTTCACAGGAAGTGGGACTGCCAGTTATTCAAAACTTTGAGCAAGTAGCTAGTTTGGTCTTGGGATGCATTGCATTATTGTCCTGTAGCAGATTTTCCCTTCTAATTATGATTTGCTTTAGGCAGGTGGCATTTAAAATGACTTTACTTTGAGGAGCACCCACCACCTGGAGCAGACTGAGTGGGTTTGGGAGAATGTTGACAGCAAGAGAAAGCCAGCCTGGTGTAACATTTCATGTGGAAAATCTACCCAATAGTAATTCACACAAAATAACTGAGAGTTGGTTTTAGAAGCAAAACTCATTTCTCCAGTTGATTTATGACTTTGTTGAGCTGCAGCTCTAATTCCCATGACATAAGTAATCAGTATCTTCATCTCTAAGAATTAATAAGATACTGATAGAGCAGAGAAAGGAAACCTCTGTCCTCACATTGACAATGCAGACTCCATTTAAATGAAGTAAAGACCTGAATTCCTGCTGAAATGAGTTTAACCAGTCAAAAGTTGTAGAATTTAAACAGTAACCGGAAACCAGCTACTTTTTTTTTAACCTTTAAATTTACCTTTATAAAAACTTTCTTGAGAGAAAAGCTTATGGAAATTCTTATGGAAGGCAAAATCCTGACCTGAGAAAAAAGGTTTGAGTGACTACTCAAACAAAACACCTTCCAGCAGGGGGTTTAAAAATTCACTGGGGTTGTTGTGTTCTCCAAACATCAACTTTCATTTAGAGAATGATGAGTTTTGGAGAAGTTGGGCCAGTGGCCAAAAGGAAAGTTATTCTGGTTCTTTCTGTAGTGGTTTTGGGTGGATGATGATGATTCATATCCGTGACTTAGCTAAGGAAGTACAATCTTTAGGGTTTTTTTTGCCCAACACTGCCTCCTTGTGTAATGAGAATTATCTTCTAGCTCATTAGTGTATACAAACACACACACACACACACACACACATACACACATACACATACACATGCACACTTGGATTTAGTGGCTTCAAAGATCTAAACCAAATGGAGTGCCTCATTGAAGAAAACCTCTTTGTTGCCCACATTTGATAATTTCCATAGATAAGGCCAACTGTCTTTTTTTTCTCAGTAACTGTTGCCCAATTAGATATTATCTATGATTTTTGCTTTTACTCCTGTTCTCTCTCATTGTGTCTTTTTTTTTTCTTTTATTATTCATATGTGCATACAAGGCTTGGGTCATTTCTCCCCTCTGCCCCCACCCCCTCCCTTACCACGCACTCTGCTCTCCCTCTCTCTCCCCCACCCACTCAATACCCAGCAGAAACTATTTTGCCCTTATCTCTAATTTTGTTGTAGAGAGAGTATAAGCAATAATAGGAAGGAACAAGGGTTTTTGCTGGTTGAGATAAGGATAGCTATACAGGGCATTGACTCACATTGATTTCCTGTGCGTGGGTGTTACCTTCTAGGTTAATTCTTTTTGATCTCACCTTTTCTCTAGTTCCTGTTCCCCTTTTCCTATTGGCCTCAGTTGCTTTTAAGGTATCTGCTTTAGTTTCTCTGCGTTAAGGGCAACAAATGCTAACTAATTTTTTAGGTGTCTTCCCTATCCTCACCCCTCCCTTGTGTGCTCTAGCTTTTATCATGTGCTCATAGTCCAATCCCATTGTTGTGTTTGCCCTTGATCTAATGTCCACATATGAGGGAGAACATACGATTTTTGGTCTTTTGGGCCAGGCTAACCTCACTCAGAATGATGTCATTGTGTCTTTAAATTGGTGGAAAGAAATAGAGAAAACGGATCAAAAGCAAAGCACTGTACTTGCTACTTACTATATCATCTTTGAAAGGTTCTGTGAGATGAAAGACTGAAAGCCAGGTAAATGAAAATAATACAGTAATCAGAAGATCCCACTGGGATAGATCTTCTAATTTTATCAACAACAGTTGACCAAAGTGGTTAAGCTTAATGAATTTAAGTTACATGTTTTTTCACCTTCTTCCTCTTTATTC